AATTAATGGAGAATTCTGACAATTAGTAATTTGAAAAAAATAACTATATGGCCTACATGTATGTATGATAGAAAAGCTCCTCAGCTGCTCTTCAAGATATTCCTGCAGGGATGTTACATTATTGTCTTTCTCTTAATTTTCCTTTCATTTTCTATTTATCATGTTTATGTTCTTATTCTGTTGCTTTTTGTGATTGTAACTTTATTGCACACATTGTAATCTACGTGATTACCTGTACTATAAAATAACATGAAATAAAACATAGTGAGTTTTATTTACAAATTTGCTTTCCACACAAGTCAAGATTTTTTTGGAGAGATTGCATATCAGGACTATACATGTACATGTACATTGCAGACATTGGAAGGAAAAATTTTCACCGTAAAAGTTTGTTTGGTAATGATGTTTCTGGTCTCAGTTGAAAGTTTGACTTACATGTACACCCTTTATTGATACCTATTATCTTTTCAGTGCAAAACAAAGACACTGCATCGTGTGAATTAAAGGGAGTAGGGGAAATGGTGGTATCTATAGCATTTTTTCTTCAAAATAAGGGCAGGATCTTAAATTTATTCCATGGAATACTAGGAATCAATATTAATCTTTCTGTAAGGACAGTTTTTGCATATTTTAAAGCATGCTGTTATTTATTATCCGTGCTGAACATTATTTGGTATGGTTACTGGGCTTAAATACTGCATTTCCCTTCTTTCATTTTATTTGCATATTTTTAGGGAGGGTGGAGGCTGACAGACCAAATGTCTTGTTCCTGGTGGTAGATGATCTAGCCCCAGTCATTTCAAGTTATGGAGGAAAGGCCATTACCCCTAACATTGACCAGCTGGCGTCACAGTCTATCAGGTTTACCAACACTTATGCACAGGTATATATTTGGACCTCTGGTAAATACGAGAGTATCATTTAGCACTTCTTATATCACGGTCATAGACCGTGAATTTTTTGTTGGTCACGAATTGATCACAAGTGCGCGTGTACATTCATTTGTTATGTGCACTGGTGATGTTGCGTGGCCACAAAAATGATGGATGACAGTGATCTTCCTACAGTTGATGTGTTGTGTCTACTTCATTGTCACTGTGAAGTCTTGGGTACGAGGTTAGCTGTGATGGTACGACATGTACGTGCCAATTATTGTAGGAGATGTGCACTGTGTGGGGTACATTGAAGTACTGTGGCTGTTTGCATATGCTACTGTCTTCACTCTGACCATGACAGAGCCCCACCCTTTTTTATATACACTTCTGTTTGCACCCAACTTTGCTCTTGGAACATGAATATGCTTTAATTACCGTTTCTGCTGCAACCGCCATTGCTGGTTATCTATTTGGGAGTTTAGTTCCACCATGAGAATGCTCAGAGTAAAAAAAAAAAGCATCAATGAGGGTGTAATAGGAAGGACGACTTCAATTCATGCTTTTGATGTTAGTAGAGGTAGCAATCTTTATTTGGTTTTTATCTAGTAAATTGTTTTAAATATAAATTTCTTAAAAATTGAAATTGTGAATTATCAATGTGATTGATCTTTAAGGTTAATGTTATGTCTAAATATTGGGAGGTCCAGAAGCACAATTAACATGCTCATTAACTTACTTGTCTCATGTTAAAGGGATGTTTGTTAACAGTATGATATTAGTTGTCTTTAATCGCATTTCAAGATTTTGTCAAATTCATTTCAGAAAAGATGCTTTTGAATCAAAATTTATTGGGTTTTGTGCAGCAACCACTGTGTGCTCCATCTCGAGTGTCATTTCTGACAAGCCGACGCCCAGATACCACCAAAACCTACTTCAACAAAGCATCGTACTGGCGCACTCATGTGGGCAACTTCACAACTCTCCCTCAGTACTTCAAGGAAGCTGGTTACTTCGCGGCTAGTTTTGGCAAAGTTTTCCACAATGGTATGAATCACATTAAGAAAAAAATTTTGTATGAGCAAAGTTTAACCCATTAACCAAAATTGACATGAACTAAGAATTTATTCTTGATGGCCACAACAATTTTAAGATGAAACTTTTAGGAGTGATATAATGTATGAGGATATTAGCTCTAATTTTTGTGTTCTCTTTATGGAGACCATGCTTCCCTGATACTGATGTTATTGCTTTTCCTGATTCTGATATGAAGAATGTTTTGAAATGCTGCTTAATGTAAGATGAAAAATGAAAACTCCAAAACTTACAAAATTAATGTTCATGGAGTGTCAAGTTATCAAGCACCGGTTGTTCAAGTGTATTTTATTTTAATCTAGGTCATGTTTGTGGAACAGATAATGATTCTCCATTCAGCTGGTCTGTACCGCCTTATCATGCACCTACAAAGCACTTTGGCTATGAAAAGGTATGATTGTATTAAAATTAGGTATCTTAAACTTAACGTAATCAATGCATTTAAACAGTATTCCAGTCGAAGCCTTACGTTAGTCCCAGGCACTAACAGCACAAGCATTCTGGAAGCCTTAAAAATTCAGAAGTGGACAAATGGGCCTGGGTCTGGACTTGACTTGTGTCTGACCGCGAGTTGGCCTTGCACTGAGAGAATACCTTTTTAAGCATCCAGATGGTGTTAGACTTTCTTTGCCAAGTGTAACGCCTTAGTTATCCATACTGACAGGTTTGCCCAGGCCCGGACGGGAAGCTGCATTTCAATCTCTTCTGCCCAGTCAACGTGTCCAGCCAGCCGATGGGTACCTTGCCTGACATTCAGACCACAGACCACATCCTGGAGATCTTCCACAACCTATCCAGGGTCAGAGATGCTGGCCTGTCTGGGAAGGCCACCATGCCTCACCTTCCCTTCTTCCTGGCAATGGGTTTCCACAAGCCCCACATCTCCTTCAGGTGACCATAATAATTTGACAAGGAAATAAGTGCCTGGAGCTACTCTACATGTAGCATCACTGACCTAAGTCCTGGGAGCCTGTGATCGGGTAAAGGAAGGATAGTACCCCTTGATCAGATGTTAAGGGGAGAAAATTTCATGCTGCAGAAATTGACCAAGCAGAGGAGTTTGAAAAATAGGGTTTTCTCCTGAGCAGTAGTTGGGCTTCAGCGCTGATGTCAGTGCTTGAAGCACCCACCCACAGCTCTGCATTTTGCTGTCTCATGATTCTCTAACTGCAAGACTGTATCCATCAGTCACAATCATTTGTGACCCAGCTTAACAAAATGAGTTGGAAGTCACTAGTGCCACATTTTAGTTAACCGCCTTGAAAAGACTCTTGCTCAGTGGAAATCAATAGGAACCCTCAATTTTCAATAGGATGCCAAATGGAGTGATTCATCAAAAGCAAGAGGTTAGCTTGCTTGAGCTGATCCACACTAGAGCAAAAGTAATGGAAAAAATGGCTTTAAGACTCGAGTTTTAGGAACAGTTGAATTGACTGTTCCAGCTATCAGCCATTGGTGAACTTTTTTTTGCAATGGCTTCTATTTCTACGATGATGTCACAGAAAATGTTTTGTTTTATGAAATGAAGAAATATGTTTGACACTGGACTATAGCTCTGGAGAGACCATGTACTTACACGTGTGCTTTGTGACCTTTGTCAGGTATCCCGAGGAATTTCTGGATTTGTACCCCTTGGAGTCTGTGGATATCGCTCCTAATGCATTCTTCTCCAGTACTCAGCCACCAGTCGCTTGGAATCCGTTTATGGATATACGAAGGAGGGAGGACATGACAGCCCTTCATTTACCTTTTCCATATGGTCCAGTGCCAGAAAAATACCATGTGAGTTACATGGAATGCCTTATTTCCTGTGTATGTGTTTCAGTAGATTTGTTGATGAACAATGTGAATACTGTGCCATTCTGTAGCAAAGAAGAAAGGTTAGAGATTTATAAGATTTAGAGATAGAATTGTTGGTAAGCCTCACCAAAGATGGGCAACAACAGAATACAATGAAGATGTCATTGTTTAGGATTAAGTAGCTTGACTTCATTTAGTGACCAATCTCCACCCCAATTTTTTTTGTTCACTGAAAAGTTCCTGTTTGATGCAGTTTAGGCAGGTATCCTTGCAAATTTCACAACCAAAGACCCATTGTTTATTTTTTGGCATGACTCAATGTGTTTGAAGAATCTCTCTTATGCATCATTTTGATTTGTTACAGTTTCTAATACGGCAGGCATACTATGCCTCAACCACCTACATGGATTATGAACTAGGACGTGTCTTGGCTGGATTAGAAACAGCAGGCTTTGCAAACAACACAGTCATTAGTTTTGTCTCAGACCATGGTGAGTCCACTTTTCTGACACTCGGCTAAAATTTGAGCTGAACTGAAACCAAATTTGAATAAGATTTAATAATCTACCTTCATAATAAAAAGTGTGTTTCTTGAAAATCATTTGTAAGAGCAGATTTTGGTCTTGTTTTTTGTAGGTTGGCAACTTGGTGAGCATCAGGAATGGAGCAAATACAGCAACTATGCCACCTCCACACAAGTCCCATTCATGCTTCACGTACCAGGCATCACTGACAAGGGAAAAGGAAATGTTAGGAAGCCCAAATTCCCACTAAGGGACCCATTGCAAGAACGCAGCTTAAGGTCAAGGATCAAGGGTCAAGGCAAGACAGCCAACTTCAATGAAGGTTTGAGCAGTGATGCTCTGGTGGAATTGATCGATCTGTTCCCAACACTGGCCAGGTTGGCCAATCTTCCTGTACCACCACTGTGTCCTGTCAACTCATCACTAGTAGACACATGTGTGGAAGGGGTCAACCTCACACCTCTCATTAGAGCAACTCTGTCCAATTCAACGGGTAGTAGTCATTCAAGAACGTGGAAGAAGGCAGCTTTCACACAGTTCCCCCGTCCATCCGACACACCTCGGCCCGATAGTGACCAACCCACATTAGCCAACATCACCATCATGGGGTACTCTATGATCACGGCTGATGGCTACCACTACACAGAATGGGTTGGATTTGACAATATCACCTGCACAATGAATTGGAATGATGTCCATGCCAGGGAGTTGTACGTACTCCAATCAGATCCCTTGGAAGATAATAATGTTGCTGATGTATCGAGCAATGGAAAGCTTGTCAAAAGACTTTCCAATGAACTGCACGAGGGATGGAGATACGCTCTCCCCAAGTTGCCTTATGACTTGCCATTAAAATAAGAAGACAATATGTCTTTATTGATTTGATTTCTTACACAGTATTGCAATTCCATTACTCCTTAAAGTGTAATCTGTTTTACCGTAGTTTACTTATTATTGGACTTAAAAATTGTGCTAAAAGTCTCGAAAAAAAATTTTAAAAAGAGAAATACTCTTTTTTTAATTAATAGACTTTTTTCATGGTGCTTTTTTATATTCAATTCATACACATGGCAGTATTTGTACATGCGCATGATTTGTGGTTAACAAATGATAGAGTGCTGTGCAGACTATGATTTTCAAATGGATCAGGCTAATCCCCCATGCCATTACACAGATCACATTGTTTGTATCTAAACAGATTATCTGAATCCTTATAAGTACAAGGTTTCCTTTTTTACTGGAATGCGTCATCGTTTATAAATCTCTCTCATCCCATCTTCCTAGGATAATTACAATGCATTTCACACCATCAGGTGTGTAATCATCGAGTGTGCAGATGTTCTATACACACATCATTAAAGAACAACTGTTCTAGTGGTGTAAACTTGTTTGTTCTAAGAGTCCAGAAAAGTTTTTTACTCATTGAAAACTTTATGAGCAAAAAAAAAAAAAAGTAATAAATAACAACTTTTTATATTGCTTTTATATTAATCAATCAATGTGAATGGTTGGAAATATATTGTCATATGATCTAAGTAACATTTTAAGCTTTATGAAAACAGCCACGGATATCTTTTATTAAATGCTGTCACATTTATGCCAAATATTGAATGGGAAAGAACACTTGAAAACTGTCAGTATTTAGAATAAAACATTTTATTATTATACAAGTACTCTGTATTACTTCATGTGTATGTCCAAGTTTATTATCTTGTTTAGCAGGATTAGACTGGGGGCAGAGAAAAAGGATCTCTTCATGAACACTTGCTCCAAATTTCACCAAATTGTTGATCAACTAACAATTAACAACAGATCCCTGATAGCATATGTCATCCTTTGATAAAACTGTGAACATTATTCAAAGCTTTAGGCACTAACAAGGGTGCAAACATTCACAATATCAGTCTGCTCGAGACTGGTGTACATTACATTGGATTTGGCAATGACGTGCAAACTTAGCCACCAACATGTAAGTGCCTTCACGGGGCTTTCTTTAATGACTTGAACAACGTCCTGTATCATTCTTGCATAGAGCCAATAACATTGTTTTTCTGTTTTCATGGCCAGTTGTATTTTTTGGGGGGATTCAGCATCAAGCTGCTTGCAAGTCAAATCTCCACCTCGAACACGAATCACTGTCCAGTTTCTGTTAATCTGTCTTCATCTGGGTACATAGCTGGCAACTTCATCCGGCTTGAGGGTCTGGTCAACACCAGGCAGTGGAGTGTCGTCAAACAGAGACTGGGTGTAGCCATTCTGGAAGAGAAACCCCCTCTTACAAGCTTCATACGCCATGAACATCAGTCCAGCGTAAGGTGCTATCTGTTACCAACACAAAAAAGTCCAATTGTAAACAACTACAAATTGCTACATTTATGCCCCCGCTTCCTTTTTGTCCTGGATGATTTCTTACCTTACAGATGTTTGCTGTGTTACCTCTCCACAATCCCTTCATCCCATACGCGTCGTTTGTCTTGCGAAAGGCCATGATCATTCCCCTAAACGGATGGATATCCACGCCCCCTCCATTCTTCATCACAAAGCTTTGGGCCTGTAAACAACACACCAATCCAAACCACCAGAATTAACTTCTCTGCTTAGAGTCCTACCATGTCTCTGCCCTTCTTGACAATGTTTTAAGTGGCCTTTTATGCTTGAGCATTAGGTGTAAAAATGCTCAACACAGCTCAAAGAATGAAAGTGAAATGAAGTGGAACTTCTTGTGGAAGAGACTTAGTTGGTACTCCAATTATTTTCAGTGAAAAAAAAGGTTACTTATTTCATACCTTTCTTCCCACTTTGGTTACTTTTGTCCCATTGGAATCCAAAAACTTATCTTTCAGGAGGGTAAGCAGAGGGATAAACTAGCCAACACATCTTTCTCAAATTTTTCAAAATTTCCCAAATTCCTCAGTTTTCCATGTAGTGTTCCTGCTTTCCCTGAAGGTTTTCATAATTTTCCAAGTGTTTCCATAGGCCTCTTTCCCTGTACCTGAAGCTTTTTCCTGATGGTGTCAAAGGGGAAGGACACCGTCTGTGCAACAGCAGCAGCTATGCATCCGTTGAAAAAGTTCTGGACTGGGGTGAGCATGTAACGTGGAGTGTCCCAAAGTGTGTCTAGTAACTCGTAGATCAGGAAGGTACAGGCACTGAAGGGCATGGAACCTAACCAAAAGTATCAAGAGAAATATCACTCGCATTTCTCTTGGGTACCAGCTGTATTATTACATCAACTTGTCAAGGAGTATACATGTATATGCAATAGACCAATTGCGCCCGCTAAGTAACATGACCAATAGTGGGTATTACATATCAACAAACACGACGTCCACCAAAAGAAAATGTTTAGTAAGTATCATTTACCAAAAATAATGCGGACGGTAGGTACTGTACTCAGACTACGAATGTACCGGGTACTAAACCGTAACCCGCCTGTATAGTTTGTAAACAACACTCAAAACACACATTGTTATGGGGTTGATACCCACTATAGGTCACGTGATTTAGCAGGTGAAATCGGTCTATTTATCATGAAGAAATACTCATTTATAAATAACGATTTGTGAAATCACATTGCTGTTCATTCAGAAAGCAGCATCTATATTCAAGAAATTTCAACACAAGCACAATGCTATCTCAGACTCTCTGCAAAGCGATACTCTTTGATTAAACATTTTGGACAAAGTTCCTCCTTAATGATGACATCTCCCTTTTTCTTCCATCTTCTAAATATCCCCACCCAATTTTTGAGATGATGAATGCATCATCTCACCCAGCAGTGATACATAGAGCCCCCTGTAGAAAGCCAACAACCCCTCTTCCTTGAGTATCAACTTAAAGGCGTGGACTATCCCTCGGTAGCGCCTCCTCTGTTTATTAGTTGACTGCACAATCAGTCGCGTCTTCACCATGTCTGTTGGGTAGGTCACCACTGTTGCAACCATGCCTCCGAGACTACCAGCAAGTAAGGCTTTTGGGGGACTCATTCGGCCATTCTCATCAGCAAGCCTCGACTTGAGCTTGTAAAATGCTGAAAACTGTATTGTACTGAATGGGGACAGCCGTAAGCACCCAATCAGGTTGCCTTTCCAAAATGCCCTCAGGCCCTGCGACTGGTACAAGTTCACAAACGCCTTGAAGAACCCTTGTTTTGTTTCTTTCGTTCCAACCTGGGAGAGGACTTTTATCACATCCAAGGGGGCAGTAAGACTTCTACTGGTCACGCCTGCCACAGTTGTGCAGGTGAAGGTCTGCAAGTAAGTCAGTCTATGGTCTCTGGCGGCCCCTCCCATTATTGTCAAGATGGTTGGGAGGCAGGCAGTCCGGATCGAAATCTGTCCGACAAGAGTGAGTCAAAAAATAAAATTTATCTCAATTCATCATGCTGATTGCCACACGTGCTAGCTTGGTACACAGTTGCAAGTGCAAGTTGTCTGCTGCTTGTTTGTAATTACGACCGCGCTACTATGCGAATTGATAAATATACTACGTTTTATGAACTGACTTATTAAATACAAAAGATTATTCATCAAAATAAAATTTCAAAGGTTTAGAATAAATTTCATGATCGTTTTTTATTTGTTTATTAGGACTATTTTCATCAAAATGTTAAATTAAGTGAACTATTTCATCTAGCGTAATGGAACGTTGACCGCCGAAGCTTTCAAGATGGCGGCGCCCACGGTGTTCGTCTCTCGAAATGGGATTGTGGACGTGAGCATATTTTGCGACTTTACTGCCGTGTAATCTTTCGTTTTGTAACAGGATGATTGTATATATTGTAGAAATGTGTTAAAGTCAGAATAATTTGTAGTTCTCATATTATGCAGTACTTGCGGGGAATTGTTGAATTTAATTTGTGAAAGCGCCCGCTGTACAGTGTGTATGGACGTGGTTCTCCTATGGTAATAGCTTTGCCGCGAGGCTTTGCCGCGTAGCCCGAGGCCTACATGCAGATGCCCATGCACACATGCAGTGAAGTGCACAGGCATGACAGGGCTTGCACTTTTATTTCGATTCTCTAAAGAATGTCATCTGTTTTTATGGTTATCTTTATTCAATTTAGCATTTAGGCTAGAAGTAAAATTATTTTGAAAGGCCTACAAAAACTGAAAAAGGCTTCATCATTGGTGTATTACTATTAAGCAAGCCTTTGTGAAATTTAAAAAAAATTTAAAACAATTTTTTAAAATTTCTAGTCAGGTAAATCATGGAGGTAGAATCACAAAAATCAAACTCATGACAGCCATGTTGCTTTGGTATTCCTTAACGACAGGATGCTGGTTTAAATTCTAAATAGGTGTTTTCATGTGTGTCAAACGCTAACATCTTTCACCTTACTGGATGTGCTCTTAGTTACATGTTTTTTGAGATCTTTTACACAATTTGGAATGAGAATCAGCAGAAAATGCCACATTCTTACCGGAGATTCTGAATGTCAAACAAGTGTGACACAGTGCACTGCATGCATACATACTGTCAGGCTGTTACATGTGGCAAGCCTGCTCCCGTATTAAATGAACTTTAACCCTAACACTCCTCAATCCTTCACCTGTTGGAGGATTGAGGAGTGTTAGGGTTAAGGCCAATCAGACATTGGCTTTCTCAATGGAACATTGGTCAACCAGTCGGTGAGTCGAGCAGAGAAGTTTTACTGCTGCCATACCTTTTTTCAGTATGTATTGCTGGCGCAAGTTCATGAATATGGAGGATTTTCCCTTAACTCTGCCCTCTTTCTATTACATCCAGCAGGTTGTCATTGTCATCTATTTAGGAAAGCCCAAAGACGCAAAAAGATTTGTTTACTTGTAGGAATGGTACCCTATTGCTGAAAAATGCACTTTTATTCAGTTGGCCTAAATTTAAAAAGCTGCTAATCGTCCAAATTGCTGTGTAAGTTTATGTGTACATTTCAGGTTATATAAGGCTCATATAATGAATAAATTTGAATGGCATGAATATATTATTTTAAGCACTACTGTTTCATCTCCAGGCAATTAATCAAGTACTTAAGGAACCAGTCAAGCAAGTGAGTGGCTTTTTGCTTGGCTCATCCAATGACGGTCAGACCACTCTCCTCCAGTGCTCAGCTATTGACAATACATGTGATTTGACAAATTCAGTGGCATTATGCACAGAACTGGAAAAACTGCATGGGCTTCTTCCAGTTGGTGAGTTCCTTGCATATATTTTGTGACTCTTAAGCAGTTCTTTGTAGAAATCTTTGAGTTGTGACCTCAGGGTGGACAATGGGCAAATTCTGACACTATTATGATGAGAGATGTAACTCACTTTGACAGATGTAATCCACTTTTTGTTGTAGCTGGTCAGTTTGTGCCACTTTTTGCAAATACTTTTAGAAACGAAGCCTAGGGAAACTGCAAGCATGGTGTAATGAAAACATTAAGTCTCAACAAAGTAAATACTTCAGTGTAGTTTGTGAACATATAGTTGTTGTTGTATTTTAACAGGAATTGACGTATGTGGGTTGTATTTTGTATCAACACCACCTGGCCCAGCGAGCGTCACTCAGTATTGTAAAGAACTGATAGATGATACAGTGCATGTAAGAAACATAGAGCATTATTTTACACTAAAAGGAATATTGTGTGTTCTCTTTGGGGATATTGACACCGCATTCATCTTTAAGGCATACACAGTTATTGTTTTTTTCATTGGGGAGATGGGTGTTTTGATGGGTGTTTTCTTCCCACATCCTGCCTACCCCTACCTTAACACCATTTCCAAGTATTCCACATAATTAAATTCTATCTACCATCGAGCCATTAGGATTTTTCCAAGCCATCTCTCCACGTGATTGTTTTAAGGGCATTGAAAAGCCTGATGGATTGGATGGACCTGGAAGGGTTAAGATTAAAAGAGTGGTTCTGTTAAATACCTCTGAGGAAGATCACTGTAGCCTTTTAGTGCTGTTGTTTTTAAGACTTGACCATGTTTATTATCACAGACTGCCCTCCATACAGATCAGCTGATTATTGCAAAGATCCCCAAGGACCAGCCAGAATTAGTTCCTGACAACTTTTACTTGTATGATGTCAACTCTGCCGAGGCCAGTCCTTGCCAAGTTAAGATTGGAAATGACACTGGCATCCAGGAGAACAATTTGATGACATTTAGAGTGCAAGGCAACCTGTCACTGAATGTCGTTTACCATGATGACAAAGGTACATGTACATAGAATGATATGTAGGATGTCATAGTCATAAATGTCTAGGGTTTGTACTTGTTATTATTACAGTTGTTGTTGTCATTGTTGACACAATTTTACCTTTTTTAGGGTTTTAATTGTACTCTTTTTTTGCACATTTGCACATGCATCCATCTTAAACTTCCATTAAATACATGTAAATGTGAATAAATTTTTGGAGGGAATTGAACTTTTTAGTGAACAGCATATTACCCAAATTTGCCCAAAACATAAATTGTGGAATTTTCCAAAGTTAAACCACAAAAAGTTTGAAATAAATTGCAAGAGGTATAGCTATTATTAAGCTATTATGTAGTAAATGTCGAATGATCGTTGTTGTTAATAATGTATAAACCTCTTAAGTTACTCATGTTAGTAGACATAACCAACTTCTAACACCAAGTTGTTATTCCTCTTGTAGATTTGCGTGAAGCCCTCACTCAAAAGTTCACCAGCCTCTGCAACAGAGTCCAGTCATTCACAGCTTTGTATCACTTTCAAAAGACATCCATCCTGATTGGTGGAAACAGTGGCGACATCACAGCGGGGCCCCTGAACAGGGATAGTCAAGCTGGGGACATCTGCAGGCACATACAGGAGGAAGATGATGGGTTTAGTGCCCCAGTTGGGAAGGGAGGGAAAAAGACCAAGAAGGAAGACAGGAATGTAAATCAGGTAATTAGCATATCTTGTCATTATCATACAGTAAAGAATGTGGTAAGATGAGAAGTGGTATAGATCAATATGGGTGTTTCACAATAGTACGTGTTTGGAAAGGGTCGGCAGATTTCATGCATTGTGATTGGTCAATGCATTGCAAACTCTTGGAGGCACACTTTGGTGAATCGGCCGTATTGTACTAAAACTGCTCAGCATGTATCACTTTACTGCCATCATTATTTTATGTCCAAATTTCATGCCCATGCCTTTTGCTACTTCAGTTGAATTCAAATGTCAAGGCATCTTTCATTACATTGCAGATTCTTGAAGTGCAGTTACTGTTTAGATTAAGTCTGGATGAGGAACAAGAGGGGTCAGCTGGTCTGGTACCCTTTGTCCACTATCAAATCTGTGAGTTGTCATGCATATTTTGTAAATTTATTTGGGAAGGGCATTAGATTTAGTTTAGTATGGCTTGAAGGTGGGCTGTTTGTGTGTATGTTGTTTTGTTTTTAATGGAATAAATTAAACAAATTAAACTCTTGCCGTGAAACCTTTGTGTTTAACCCTCCTTTGGTTTTACAGCACAAATATGCACAAGTGTCCAACGTCACTCTCTTGCATGTTGGTGCAGTGCACAACACAACACAGCTGTGCTTCTTTGAGGTGTTTACCAAGTGACCCAAAGAGTGACTTCAGCATAGGAGGGTTCATAGAATCAGAGTATCTTTTTAACAAGCCAGAGTACAAAAATTTTTTTGTCTGAATTACTTACTCAGATAATGAAGAGTGTAGACGGTCTAGTATGGTGTTGCCCATTGACGTTCCAGTCATTGTACCGAGGAACACATTAGCTGCTACTTTAGGGAAGCTGTTTTCAGCTGGAGTGTGTCGCCAACTACTTGCAATGGAACAATGCCTGAAGGACCACCTTCAGGTACTTGCAACTGTTTTGATTTTAGTAGATGAGATCTTCCAGAAGTGTAAAATCTGAAAATGTGAACATTTGTGGAAGCACATAAAAAATTTGAATTAAAAAAAAGTACTCATTTTTATCACTTATGCTGTAACTTATAACTTCTGTTGTGCTTCTTTGGACCATTTCAATGTTTGAGAAATGTTGGATTTTTCTGCCAGTGTTTACTGACTTCTGGGTGTTCCAGATCATCATGGGGTATCATTCTATTACTTTGTTTGATTTCAGGAGTGTGGTCTAAGTGTTCCCAGACCCTACCACTATAAATTGCCTGGAATCCCCAACCTATTTACAGTCTTGTACCCTGTAGACTTGGCAGATGACAAACTAGGTGGGTATATGTGGATGCATTTTAGTCTGGTCTTTTTCTTATGGAATGACGAGTGGGATTCCACTTAGACCTGCCCAGGACCTCTAAGCTTAATTTCCATTCTTATTAGCTCATCATTTTCAGTTGGGTACTTGTTGTGCTGTTGGAACACATTATACTCCGCTTGTGAATTAATGGCCAAGGTATGAATTCACTTGTGTTTGTTAACAGGATCCACACGTCAACATCTTCATAACCAATTCCTGCTGCCATTGGACAGACCACGGTTTAGAAGAGCTAATGCATATTCATATCCTGATGCAAAGAAGGAGGGATATCTGTTGAACACTCATCTAGGGCTGCCACTATCTGGAGGTAAGTAGTTACTGAAAGGATGATTTAGCATGCTGTATCAGGAAAAAAAGAGAGTAAATAAGTATCAAGATTGTTCAGTAGTCTTCAGGGTATCTTATCTTATTCTTCTCACTTTTTCCTCAGTGGGGAATGGTCAGGTGTCTTTGGTTCAAGGCACCTATGCCTACCACCATTACATGCAGGACCACTTCAACGATGACAAGTGGGGGTGTGCTTATCGTTCGCTCCAGACCCTGGTGTCCTGGTTCAGGCACCAGGGGTACACACAACGCCCTGTCCCCTCCCACAAGGAGATTCAGCAGGCCTTGGTGGATGTTGGGGACAAGCCAGCCAAGTTTGTGGGTTCCAGACAATGGATTGGATCGTTTGAAGTTAGCACAGTGCTCAATCAGCTGTTTGCTGTGAGTGGTCTCATACTTCATTCACTGGAATATCAAACAGTCACTAAAAAAACTAATTTGGGGGAAGTCTTGAGGTAAGGTCCATTGGAAGCAGTGAAATTGTAGAACTGATTTCAACTGTGTCTGTAAGTCAGAAAAATTCAAGATTTAACCGTTCTTCTTCCTTTTTGAGATCCTTCAACATCCATTTGGAGGTTTAGGAGGAATGGGCATGATGTAGGATTGTAAAGCCTTGATGTTACTTCTAGTGTGACTGCCCCTGAAAGAAACTCCTGTTGGTTGTCTGCACAAAGGAAGATTTAGGACAAGATCTGCTGAGGAAGTTATGGTTTATTCATAAAGGAGAAAATGTAAGAATCTTTAAAACTTACCTTTGTGCTGATTATTTCTCTCACCAGATTACTTGTAAGCTGCTGTACGTCAGTTCAGGAGCAGAGATGGCCAACAAGGGCAGGGAGTTGGCCTTGCACTTCCAGACTCAGGGCACACCCATCATGATAGGTGAGACACTGAACAACAATTGGAAAGATGTCAAAAGAAAAGTGTCAGTAGAATTAATGGTTCATGTGGCCTAGTGCTAAGGGTTTGTAACTTCTGATCATAGGGTTGGGGGTTTGAATCCAGCTGGTGGTAGCATGCTGTGATCCAGGGCAAGTTACTTTACCCCTATGTGCCTCTCTCCACCCAGGAGTAAATGGGTACCTGTGAGGGCAGACATGGATATGTTCAGCCGTTTGAACCAGGCTAGTATACTTCCAAGGGAACTGAGGTGGTTTCAGGAAAGTTCAGATGATGTGAGCCCAATGTGCAGGGATAGTGATAATAAGCGCATAGAGACATTCCATAATATGTGTTATATAAGAACTGACTATTATTATATTCTGAAGTGATTGTGTTGAAACCCTTGATTTCATGCCTGTTTTGCCTTTCATTGTCATGGCTTCAGGTGGAGGAGTGTTAGCTCATACCATTCTTGGTGTTGACTTCAGTGAGAGCTCTGGTGATATTAAATTCCTTATTCTAGATCCTCATTACACTGGCAGTGAGGATCTGAAGGTTGTTCAAGATAAGGTGAGGCTGTCAGTAGTGTTTTTGGTTTTGCCAGTCATATTTGTGATGTATCGTTTCACTCAAGCTAGTAAGCTGTAAAATTGGGACTTTTCTTGTCAACTTTAGATAGGGAGATAATGCTTGCACATCTCAAGAGAGTAGTCCCATTGTCACTGCTTGACACCAAAAAAATTCATTGTTTCTCTGACCTTGAAAAAGCCATAGTTGCATTGAAAAATTGTTTGGCCTTGAAAAATTTCACCTTTTTTCATTAATAATTTTGATTGTAATCTTATGTGACATCAGGAGTCGATATAACCAGGGAACTAGTCAAATAAATGGAGGAAAATTAACTGTGTAGGTGGTTCCCTCAGCTTGATAATGCTGATTGTTGTAAAGTATCCTGCTCATGAGCACAATCATCATCATCCTTCATGGTCTTGACACATTTCTGTTTCCCGTGTTTACTGCCATGGTGACATTTTTGTGCATTACATTCATACTACACACCACCAACACAATTTACCCCAATCCAAAATGAGTAAAGTTACAGAATGGAACCATGTGGTGGTTTTATTTCTATTCCCATACAGGGCTGGTGTGGCTGGAAAGGTGTTGACTTCTGGGACCAGACTGCTTACTACAACATGTGTATGCCCCAGAGACCCATAGAGTTTTAACCATTCAACCCGGCACGTGCAATTTCTTGCAGCGGAAAGGGGCGTCGAGTTTGTGAAGTTCATTTGCAAAGTTTTAGACGTGGCAGATTATCAAATTTTCAATTCACCCAGTCACTGGACATTATTTCATTGAATTGCTAGCTCATGCCCTGTGTAGCCTAACCTTGCTACACCTGGTTTTGTTTTGTTTTGTATTGCATTCCAGGCAAACTTTGATGTCAATCTTGGTCTCAGTCCTAGAGCCCATAATGACAAAGACGCTGGCATTGCTGCACATCACATGCACCAGCCTATTTTATGCTATTGACTTCACCGAGATTTGGGAAGGAAAAAAATGGTTTCCAAAAGTGGTACATGTGCATATGCACCTCCTCACCTCGTCTTGTTATCAATGTTCTCTTTTTGATGTTCCTTATTACAGCACCAAAAACAAATCATTAAATCTGGCACCAGACTTAACATTAATTGCAGTCAAGTTCACATTGTTATTCAGACTTGGACCGCAACAGTTGTCTAACAAAAGGGTGATTTTTTGATGGTGTCATTTGCACTTTATAAAAACAATCAGTGTTTTCTTGTCATTTTCATGAACAAGTAAATTGTATACATTAAATAGATTACTTGTGAAGACTTTCTTTGCTTAATATACCTTCAGCTGATTCCTGTCACATAACCCAAGGAGCTGACTATGAGGATTGAAGTGTGCTCTGACATTTTTGCTGGAAACCTTTTGTACAGTTTAGACAAGTTTACATAGGTGTGGGGCCAATAGTTATGTTACGGCAGGTTGAAAAAACCCTGAAATCAGGCTATTGCTGGACGGCAATGTATGTACCCTCAGTAAGAGACTAGAATCTTTTTTCGCAAACTATGCTTTTTTCATTTTTTTTTTAATTTGGCTTCATTTGGGTAAGTTTCAAACAGATTTTCTCCTCTTCCGCTTTACAAAAGCTTCTGATTTTACCAAATAACTTTTTTCTTGTCTTATTTTATGAAATCATGAACACCGAGAAAAAAACAACTCCAAATTTATGTTACACTTTTCTTGAAATGTTTTATTTGATAATTACAAGTAGATGCCTACTTACAGTGGTTAATATAAATAACTTGGATACAGTAATTCCCCTGTACATGTGTGCCTGACGTGATGGACAGTTGAACACTCCCAGCATCATTCACTTGTCTTCTGAATCATTTAACTTTACAAAAAGACAAAACAAATGAAGACAAAAATCTGCACAAACTGAAGCTAACTTGTCCTTCAGAAAGGGGTTACTTTTTTTTGCATTCCATGTCCTGCTTATTGAGGTAAACATAACATCAAATGAACTTTTCAAATGATGGGATTTGGACAAACATGGGGGGAAGCAGTAACAAAAGGATGCCTGTTAAGAAAGGCGAATCATGTAACGCTACTGGATATCAATGTAGCTGCCCTGTGCTGAAATGTGGCAATTTCATCCCTTGTTTTGATTTTCTTGGGGGTTATTTGTGGCTGGTATGTGGTATTTCATTGCCAAATACATTTGGTGGGCAGAATGTTCTCATTGCCATTCTCATTGGAACCTCTGTAAGAGTTACAATTTTAATAACTCAACGTAAGTATTTTCTGGTAAGACAAAAATAAAGATTTTTTTCAGCAACAATTAAACACACATTTGGAATAATTTACAAACCAAAAAGTCACTTGGATTCTATTTTCCTTTACATTTAACAAAGCAACAACACCACATCTAATTTCCGCAGGAGGCCTGGGTAGAAAAATCATAATTATTTTAACATTTTATATTTGTACATTTTGTTGCTCTATGTTGAAGCCAGGCAAGATGTACACTGATTCACTCTTTCAAATTTGTAATACACATATCAAAAAAATTTACAGAAGATAATTTCTTTGAGTCTATTAAATTATTTTTGAAGGCTTCTGAAATGCCTGTGCTTAGTGTTCTTCTCAAATTGCTACTATTTTTAAGGGTGATAGATAGATTTAATTTTCATCACTAACATCCACATACATGTAGATGCTCCATACTCGGTCAAAACTATTAACACATTAAGATATTACTAACAAACTGTTACTGAAAATATTACAGTTCCTGTCCTTCATGACTACATTGTGTTATAAAGAAAAAAAATCCTATAAAAAAGAAACTTTCCTTTTGCAAGTACGTAGTATGTATGTCCTTTTTGACACATGGAAGCCACTTAGTGAGGTAAAGAAAAAGTGACTTGAGAATGAAACATCTTTTTGAAAAAAAAAAAAAGAAAAGAATGTTTGGGCAGCTTTAAGGAAAAACGACCAGTTGTCTTGAAGTAATATTACCCCACTTTTCCAGATGCAGTGTTCAATATATAACTGACACACAGCTCAAATGTCTCATTCACCCATGGTGAATGGGACTTACTAGTCCAGTGAAAATCATTCTTTTTCCTACAGTGTCGTATGTGCGTGGTATGACTTATGCCAGATGCACCATTGCTAAACACAAAAGGGCATTAATTTGAAGGAATGACACAAAAACCTGTGAAAAACTGATGTTTAAAAATATTGTTTCCATGATTGGTATTTCTGGAACACTGAAAACATTCAATATGTTCAAAATTGAGAGTACGTAAAATTTGTACAGAACCTTTGAGTGATTTGAAATCACTTTAAACTTGTTAACCCTAACAATCCTCAAATTTCAATATGATTTTACATACACCCTTGGGGTTATGGTAAAAAAAAAAAAATCAAATGACAAGGATCTGTACGTCACTTATACAGAACTAATACCGAGTGGCTTTAGGTGGAAAGAGTACATGCGTTGATGAGAAATGCATGATGCCATGAACTGGTTATTTCCCATAGGTATGCTTTTCCAGTTGGAACTAGGAATACAGATGCAGTCTTACAGTTTAAGAGGGAAATAAAACAATAAAAAACAACAATGTGTCATTTTATTTTAAGACAGCCAGTGGGATATTCATACTTTAGTATGTAAGTGAAGATTGATCTCAGGGGGGGGCAAACACTGGAACAAACCTTAAGCAGGCAGAAATGGACCTAATTGAAGCTAGGTTCTGTTATGAATTCTTTTCTGCAAAAACATCAAAATCCGCATACATGTATGGCTCTAGCAGTTTTCCCAATACAGTCCAAGAACATGTGTGGTTACATTTTGGGCATAGTAGAGTATACATGGCCCATCTGACCCAGCAGGCTGTTGCCTTGATTGGCTGTGCCAAATTAAGTTTCTAAAAAGCCCAATAGAGGGTTTGCATGGCTGTCATCTTGCAGGCCAGTGCATGTTTCACAGGGTATGCAAAGAGGCTTCCCTGTGGAACAAAAAGAACTGCCCTGCAAGATGGCGACCAAACAAGGCCTCTATATTAATTTGCGTCTCTCTCTGGATTTAATAAGGGTTTAACTCCAACACCTCTTACCTGACCAGATTCAACACCATGAAAATTTGGTGGCAAATTTTTTACACTTCAATATGGCACATCCATCACCATGCGGTGATATTCAGCCCCAAACACTTTGGAAGAGTTAGTAAGAATGGGGCTGAACACTACCTTGTTTCTGAAAGCACATGCACAAATTTGAATACACATGATCCATCATAAATTCCGCACCCACCATCCCAAAAGCACAGCCGTGTGAACTAACCTATCCCATTTTAACAGAAGTTTTAACAGAAATCATTTTTTGAAGTTGAAATTCACAAGAGTGAAAATGACAATATCCTACTGAATGATAAATAGGTCTGTAGTTACCAGGAACTGCAAAGCCTGTGGTGTTTATGTGCTGTGACATGTTACCTTAGTCTGTATTTATACATGTATGCAAGGAACTCAACGATACCCCCCCAGTCTTTTGACAAAATACATTCCAGTGACTTGGGATGCTAGCGATAAACTGGAAGGCAAAAAGAGTTAAAGATACTTTTCAAAGAACCAAAGATGTTCCTATATCTGTCAAGGGTGAGGTAAATGAATGAAGGAACGAAAGTCTTTGATCTGGGTGATGGGTATTTGGGCTGCAACAACAGAAGGCTAAGAACTTATGCCCAAGTACATTAAATGCAGCCAATCGAATACACGTTTATTACTAGGAACCTTAGGCTTCCACAATTTTATGCAAGAAATGACATAATTTCTATATATATTACATAATAAAAGACGAAACAAGCAAGGGAAAAAAAAAAGAAATCACTTGTCAAAACCCCTGTAAAGTAAATTTACTTTTTCTTTAGCCTTTACATCCACTGCACTTAATGGCTCCTGTCAAAGCTGTCCTTGCTTCAACTATCACAAAAACCTCTTGGCAGAATTTAATTTGTACACAAATAACAAACTATGTGTATTCTCCTCTCCTGTGAAAAATGTCTTTTACTTCTCGAATTAGGAGGAAGTCGTGGTGACTGCTCTGGAGGTCTAGGGGCTCAACAAAGGATTGGGACTAGACTAATACATGTATTTGGAGTTTAGTTGTAAGGGGGAGTGATGACGATGAATGGATGTGGGGTCATTGGTCATCCAGCCAGCTTTGTTCACATATGGCGGCAACTTTCTTCTCGTATTCCCGTCTGTTCTCTTGGTAAAGTTGGGCTGCCTGGCTGTTGGCAGGACTATTGGGGTTGGGCTCGTCAAGTAATGACTGAAAGTGAAACAAACATTGGACAAAACAGATGTTTACATTCCCATTCTATGTAACAGGTAGGGGGCTCAATTCAGAACTGCAGCTAGCTGTGCTAGGGCAATTGATGCACATTCATGAGGTGGGTGCAGGTTCGAATCTCACCACGGGGTACAGAGTTTGTTCCTTTGAAAAAGGGTACTGTGCATGGGATCTCCACTGACAATGTTCGAGTTGTATGCATGGTTGATAAACTGCTAAGCTATGCCTGAGGCTGTCTACATTTACTGTGTTTGTTCCCAGTTAAGACAGATTCTGAATTGACAACATATCAGGAGAAATGACATCACATGGTCCTGGGGTAGGACGCTCCAAAAATACAGAAAAAGAATACCTGTATAGATGTTAATATTGCAGACACGTCGTAAGTCGGACTCCAACGATTTTGAAGGATATCAAGACAAATACCACCATCAGCATATACTGGAGGTTGGGAGAGAAAAAGCAACGAGACAAAGTTGTCAATACGGAGAGCATCTAAATGGAACACAGATGCATGTAGATGTGTGGTAAGTGGTTGGGACTCCTGATTTAAGCCAGCAATGCCAAGAATGCCCAGGGTAAGTCACCATGTGCTTACGGTGCTTTTTTGTTTTCTTTTGTACAAGAATTTTGCCAATTGACTCACAAATTATGAAACTTGAAGATTACAATAAGTACTAGAGTCATTCTATTAATTTGGGTTCCATTTTTTTTTCTGTCCCTACGCACATTCATTAATTTCCAAGAGTGATTAAGTAATGCAAGATATCAGCCAAACAAATCACAATAGTTTGAAATCCTTTTCAATAATGTCCCTTGTCAAATTACACAGGTCAGGTGTAACAAGGATGGAAGATTGTATCACATTTGACCGCAAATTTATAGATCGACTCATTTGCCAGTCAGTACTTGACACAAACATTAAAAAAACTAACAGCTCATTAATTTATTCTTTCAATGCTATACCAATGTAATGAAAACTTACACTTACCATTGGGGTGAAACATCTTTGTAACAAATTTGACAGTTGGGGGCTTATTCGGGTATTCTTCTGTGAAATCGATTTTCAACTTGAAAGTACCTGGAAGATGAAAAGTCAAATGTGCAGTTGACTAGATATCAATTTTAACCATTAGCACTAGAGATCTGCTAAAAGCAAAGATAAGGTTTTGTGTCAAATTAGGGAGATCTAGACTCTGGGCCCCAGCAAACATGATGTGACATGGGATTCCATGCCTTATGACTGTTATTAGGACTAAAAACTATGTTGACAGTATTCATATCTACATTCATTACTCACTGAAGGAAATTACTTCAACTCTGTTTCCTGTGAATGAAACCATATTTTCTTGTGTAGCGCAATACATGCAATTTTTCATTGCTACATTATCAAATAAACAGTCAAACCCAGGCTGTAGGCCAGTCAGTGACTCATCTTTGATTACAGATTACACCTACCGTCTTCGAAAGGTGTGTCTGCTGGCCTAAAAGGAAAAAAGTACACAAGAACAAGACTGACAATTAGTTTTGAGAAAACTATATCACTGTTTCAATATATTGAACAAATTTAATTTGTTGTGGATTATCAGAACAACTTGCCAAAGAGTTTTTGGTTCATGACAACTGCAGAGCTTCTCGTTATACGAGTATTTAGTAACATGGCAAGTGTTGAACCCTCTCAAAAAAGGTAACAGGATTTCTATCCATTTAAGAGGGATAGGAAGTTGCACAGAACATGTTTACTGTTAAAAGTTGTGGCTTATGCGCTTTAAGGACAGAGACCTACAGATAACTGTTATTTTACACAAAGCTTGTCATACAAGTTTATATATCACTTAGTCCCAGTACCATGGCAAATTTGAAGAAAACTTCAGGTTGTGTTACAATGCATATCTGGACCAAAAATTCTTTTGTCAAAACTGTTAATTTTGACATTTAATCACCTCATCATATCCCTCTGACAAACTTTTTATAAGCGCCTTGTATCCAAGCTCAGAAAATAATGATTAAGAAAAGTACTTGGATGGAGGCTTAGCTAATCAAGGCTGACATACTGGGTGGCGACAAACATCAACTATCATTGACCGTTAAGGGGTGCCTTACCCAAATATGACAGCATTCCATATCATGATATTGTTCTCTGAAGGCGCACCGCTCACACCGGCTGGAGGATCCTCTTGTAGTCTGGGAACCAAGATAGATGAGTGCAAGCAAAACACATCAACAGTCATAGTCTCAATCAACTTTATATTTCTACACCATGACACTGTGGTATACAGTAAAGTGATACCCTAGCAAAGAGAACTAATCTTTACAATAGACTACCTTTGTTCAGAAAGGCTGTGAATGCACAAAGTTAGACATATTTTGTACTAAAAAATTAACAGCAAGGTAGTGAAATCTTAATTTTTTTTCAGTTGTGCATAGGAAATTATATGTATGGGAAAGTAGAATCATTTCTTGGACTTAGCCCACAAGAATAATTCTAATATTAAATTGATGTGTTGATCATTCCACGTTCAATCAGTTTTGTGTTCAATTAAGTATTAAAAAAACGATTAAATGGACAGAACAGCCAAAAGTTCTTCAACCAAAACTCCAAATACAGTACATGTTTCCTTTGGTTTATCTTAAAATGGTCTAATAAGCGAATGTAGTCTGGTTCCTTGACTTGGATGGAGATATGTTTTGATGAATCTAAAATGCCTGAGTCTGGTAACAAGACGAAAAACAAAATGGCATGATTCGACTGAGTGGTTGTCTTTTGCCAAACTCCGGTTAGAAATTTGAAGTTTTCTTGCTTAAATGTTGTAAAAATTTACCTAAACTACGCCTTTCAGGATTGAGTAATGATTCCTTAAGGTCAAAATGTTTGTTAGTTTGAGAAAGTGGACTTTGTTTCCTTATTATACATGTTAGAGGAACAGGGTGTTAATGGTAATGAACCCCCAAACCATGATATACATTGCATAATCATAATCATCTCGTTTGATTTGATCGTGTTGGTGGCTACATTGTCATTAAAACCATCCATAACTTTAGGGGCCTACTTAGACTTAGTGCCGCTTGTCAGTTGGCTTTATTCTTTTCTTTGCTTTTCTTTTTTTTTTGGCCTCAAATTCGGCATCACTGACAATGCAGCAGTGTTTACACTTAACTCGAGTGGGCTTGTTGCAAACTTCTACTGTGGCAGTACACACAATTCACAATTTGGAACGTAACACTAACAGTAATAACGCCATTTCGGAAAGAAAACCGCAACATGTACATCATGTTCATCATACGTACGATGATAAGTAGGCCTACATGTATGTATTAAGTACAGACGTACACATACATGACATACAAAATACGAGTTCAGACTTGGGCTAGTTCAATTCTCGAGTTGAAATGATACTTACTTTCTGAAATCTCTCATTAAACGCCTCCTTGCCGGAGTAGACATTTTAGTTAAACGAAAATCCAAACCCTAATGTGCTTTATACTCGGGAAACTTCCGGTATCATAGGAGAAAAAAGACAACGATCACCGGGATATCCCAAGCCTGTAACATGCAATTCTCACTGTGTTGTCAAAGATGACGTCACTAAATTTAACCATGACGTTTCTTGTATTGCGCCCCCTCTTGCTCAGCATCGGTCAACCTTCATTGGCCATTTCTCAACCTCAGGGTTGTCGTATGGCTTTATAGCAACATAAGAAATTTCCATAAAGCTGTATTAAAAAAATTTCTTAACTTACGGGATAATTTACATGTATTCAGACGGAACTTTATTAAGAATTAATTAAGGCGGAGATTTATTAAGAATTTGTTGTATAAACTTGATAAAATGTTTTTAAATAATGACTGTTTCAAACTCATTATTAAACAGAATAAATAACTGTATTGAGGTTGCATCTCTGCAGAATTTAATAAAAAGTTACTGTGATGTCGTTTTATTTGATGTTTGCTTTTGTTTTACTTAGGTCCTAATCATGATTTCTCTATTTACTCCCCGTTCATCCTGCGCATGCGCAAAGAACATCTTGATACGACTTGAAAAGAGGCTAGTCTAATGCAAGGGAATTATTTAATGGAAATTCCCTGCACGCCACAATGACTCTGTGGCGCAACGGTAGCGCGTCTGACTCCAGATCAGAAGGTTGCGTGTTCGAATCACGTCAGGGTCAAGTTTGTGTTTTTTCAGCATTGTTTTAAATTAATTTCTAAAAACCTTACAATCAAAAACTTATGCAGCTTCCCATACTTCACTATTTGAATTGTATCTTTTTATAACTATTCAGGCATTTATATAGCGTTCTTGCACAAACTGGTATCACAACGCTTTGACAAAAAATAAAGTAATAGGGAATAGGAAATGTAAATCATAATGGGCTTGCAGCTAAAGAAAAGTGGAAAAGAAGAGTTGTAGGCATAGTTTAATGTAATTCTTTGGTTTGAAGCGATTTTTTAAGGTCAGCAAGGAAAGTTGCGCGACGGATTTCAGGGGGAAGATTATTCCAAATGGAAGAGTGAGTTTTGGGCTTTGTGAAAATTCTGTAATTTCTGTTATGGTTTCAGAACTGATAGGAAGCGAGTGACATCTCCCTTTCTCTAGATAGACCTGATAGAAATCAACTTTTGATACGTTCATAAGATGAAAACATTTTTACACATCAACAAGTCGCTCAAATCATAAAAATCTGTGTAAAACGAGGGGTACGAAATATATGTCCTATTGGTGGCGCCCTACAAAAACGCCATAAAGCTCCCTTTACTGGTATCCGGCGGCAGAGTTGGCCTTAATTATTACGAAACAAGCGACGGAGTAAAGTAATGTCAGATCACCTGTGATTATTCCTGTAACCAAGATGGCAGCCTTGTACAGTTGAAATTTTCCGCTATGTTCATCCGTCGGAAATATTCAATTTAAAAGCCTGTTCTTCGAGTTTAATCCCCAATTTCGACTTCTGAGACAGCGAATTAAAGGAATTTATACAGGAATGGCAGCCGAAGGTCAAGCTGGTGACTTGCCAGATGCCAAAGAAGATTCGAAGGGAGTTACGGCTGCCGCTTCTGCCAGCGCCACCGTAAACATGGTGAACGGGAGCGGCACCACCAAGATGAAATTTGGTGTGTTGATTGGCCTAATCGAAGTTGGGGAAATTTCCAACAGGGATGTAGTCGACACAGTGCTCAATCTTGTAAGTATAAAACTTGTCAATAAAATGTTGACTTTTAAGGCCTAAGCACCTTGTCATGTTTATGAATTGCTTTGTGCAGTGAGAGTAGGCCTTGCCTAGGCCTAATTAAGTAATTTAATGACAGAATTTTACCATGTCCATACCACCCCGCCAATGCCATTCACCACTGAAATGCCTGGTTACGTTGGTTCGAGTTGGAAATCCCCATGTGAATAGTGTCACATTTTGACCTTGTAGTTGGTTGCAAAGTGGATCATGTGGGGTTGCTTGGTATTTTTTCAAAGTAATGCATCCTTTGATGTCACCACTAGTTTTGATGCTGAGATGTGTTTCTAATGTCTGTTAACTTTCATGGAACACATTTGATATACCAATAGTAGGGCCTATTTCTGCCTATGGCACTCAAAAATCCAACCTGGCACTGGCAGTTATTTTTCTGAAGGTACTTTCAGTGCTTAGTTTTATTTGGCAGTTGATACACCTCCCAGAAAGTTACGCATTGCTTTGTTGTGCAGTTGAAATTGGAGGTCACTTACATAGAGAAAAGTGGACTTCTCAAGTGCCTCTGTAAGTATAAAGTCTGCAGGCAGACCTTTCTAGCAAAGGAGAGAACTGTGAAATCATCAGTATATTATGATCTGGTACTAGTATTACAAAGTATGTAGAACTGCTTAAATGCACTCTTTGAAAAAATAGAATAAAAAATAAAAATCAGAATCAAATAACCCAAATATATGTAATCGCATGTACAATAGAGCAAAGGCACCCTACTGTAATAATCAAAGGCTTTGTCAGCTTTGCAGCCTTGTAATGTAATTGGCTGCCATCTGTTGGCCATTTCATTCACCATTAATCTCATTTGATCCTATAGAGGAGATTATAGAGGATTACTGATTTGCTAAGCAGCTTAGTGGCCTTCCCAGTACATTTGAGGATTTGTTACTACATGTATGTGCATGGATTACTTCAGTTATTAGGGTACATGCATTTAAGCACTTTCTTTAGCTTTGTGTGCATGCCCACAAATCACAGCTGTATGCAGATTGGCACTTCATTATCTCATCAAACACTGAGCATTTCTTTCTACATGATTAAGAAGTGTGTTGCAAATTACCACTGTACGCACAAGAGAATTAAAATAATTGAAATTTAGGGTATGTACATGTACATTGCATATTTGTAGACAAAGACTTGAGTAAAAACAGCTCTCTTCAAGCAAAATTCTGCGCTGTAATTTGTACGGTACATGTATAATGGTACATGTTTACTTTCAGCCATTCAAAAAGAGAAGAAATTTAGACAATACTTGATATAGAATTTTTCAAAACTCTGACCCATTTTCAATGATGTAATTAGTTGTAAAGAATTGTAGAGCCTAGCCCTTGCCATTTTTTCAAGAAGCCTGGTGCCCCAAAGTGTTTTTGAAGTGCAAGGAATGTGCCATTTGCTGTAGCACAGTGTTGACATCTTGAGTCAACCGTTTTCAACAAAACTGCTAAGAGAGTTAATGAAATTAAAATGCTCACAAAAAAATGTTTTGATCAAGTGATCACATCTGTCTCAATTGGATGTACACAAAACGTTAAATCTTGATTTGTACATGTCACGAGTGGATAACTGTCTACCCTTACGTATTCTGTAATAATCCTACTTTATTTTTTCACCAAATAATAATTATCCCACATTACAATCCAGTTAATATTATCCAGTGAAATATCCCGCATCCCAGAGCCCTAGGGTTTGGACAGTTTTCTTTAGTTCCCAATCGTCTTGTCTTATTATTCAGTGCCTCCAATTTACTTACACCTGCACTCTGACCGTGAGATTCTCTTCAATAATTCACTGGCCATTTTCTAGCTTATGTGTAATGAGGACTGTTGCTAGGGCAACCACAAATGCAAAAGTGACCTTTACACGAAAGGGAAAGCCTCTAGGCAAATGGGAATTTCTGTAAATACGGGTACATACATACCATGTACACTGAAGGGCATGTAATTGCCTGAGCAATTAATGCTCAATTATATACATATGGACAAGACCCATTTGGCGATGCATGGATTATGGATACTATTGTCATCAGTGCATCATGTGGAGGTTTGGGAGTTGTGGAACTGATTTTTGGCAGTGTTAATGGTTATGGTCATGCTGAAAGTCACCTTTTAGTTTGTTGGTGTTTGTAATGAAGATTGGATTCAGATACACGGAAAGCCATTGTGAAATAAATAGTTTATGCTAAATGTATCGTTCCAGATGGGGGTCACATTGCTCATGGACATGGTGAATATGCCACCACAGAATACATATTATACTTGTACATGTACATGCCTATGAATTTGCTTTCCTGTGTGTGAAAAACAGATAGGAAGTCCATGTATGCGTGTGTATGTACATGTATGTAAACATGTTCACTTCCACGTAAACATGACTTGAATGTTCATGCAATACTCACAGCTGTTTTCTTGCAAAAACAAAATGATAACGGTGTAGAATTATGTTACATGTACAGTGCACATAAATAGATTTAACTTCAAAAAAAGCCTCAATGTGGTAGTATTTTACTTACACACGTGTGTAAGTGCCGGCTTAAAATGCCCCAAAAGGAGGGAAATACCACTTAGGCTGGAATTTTTCACCCAGTTTTAATTGTCTACTCACATTTCGCACCACTCTATCAAGAAAGAAATGCAATAGTGACAGGTTTGGTAATACAAGAAGATTGGGACATTCCGATTACAATACCAGGACCACAGGCTTTGGTCCTGGGTCTCTGTAATGATGCAATGTTACCATGGCAACTGTCAAGAGGCTTTTGACAAAAAAGGCACTTATCAGAAGCATAGGCCTAATCAGCCCTCAGTCAACTGATTTTTGTGGACTTATCATAGACCCTATATGTCTTCATGTAATTTATTAATAAATAATTGCATCCTTGCTTGAAAGTGAAACCCAATCCATCAGATTCACAATTTGAATATCAGGCAAAGATGATAATGTGTGGAAATCTCTAATGTGGTGGTTAATTTGTTATAAATGAAACTAAAAGAAATACATGTACATTTATATGATTTCAGACATTTTAAACCCCACACATCATCCTATTTTCTGTGTGAATGATTCCTTCAAAAGTTACTGGTAGATGAATTCAATACAGCAGAGGTTCCTGTAATCGATGTAGGACTATTTGATCAGTGTATGTTTCCACAGTCATTTCATAAATCCCCAGTTTGTGTGTTATTGTACATGTTGCTTCACTTCATAGACTTCGCTCTTGTGTATTTACCATAGGATTGTGATGTCATTTGATAAGACACTGTACTGCACAGTGAACATCTACATATATGTTTATTTAGTTGAATCAACTGTTTAATATATCTGTAAATTATAATTAATGTAAAGCTTACTATCCTTTCAAATACCTAAGTGTAATTTTCTCTTTAAATGCTTAAAAGGTTGAAGTGGTTTCAAATCTGGTAGCATCATGTACATCCATGTTTGTACTAGTCTGTGGAAATTGATGACTGATGGCATAAACCCTTCATTGTATAACTGCACAGTGTACGTGGTCCACTCTTCAGCAATGGAAGTATAAGTACATGTACAAGAATTGCTGCAGAGAAGATCGGCAAGTTTCTGTGGGAGGAATTATTTGCAGTATAGCCATTTCTTATTTGATAATGTTGTGCGAGTCCGTATGATTTGATTTGGGACTGATGATCATAACAGCAAATCATGTAGAGGGTAGGGAATCATTCATGTGTGATGCAGGCTCTGTAGCAAGAGATCCTCGCTCCTCAAGTCTTGTCTAAAATTTTATCGGATAATTCTGTGGTAGCGGGTTTTTTTATGGACTGACTTGACCCCAAAATTAAAAAAAAGTGTTTGATAAGAGAAACATAATGGAAGGGGTGGAAATTCTTGTAACAGCATTATACTAGGGACAGTGGTAGTAAAGCAATTACACAATTTTTTTTTTAATTATATGTTTCTTGCAGACCAGGTATGATAGAGAATATCACAGTGTACATGTACATGTATAGAGCCACATAACGATACTGTAGTTTAACTTCAGAAATCCATTATCTGTTAGTAAGACAAGGCATGTAAACAATGCAAAAGGTACATGTAACCCTCCCCTTAAAAGTTGCATCTCATCTTTTTGTTCATGGAGTTGATATTTACATGTACAGAGATGGTGGAATGAATTTTTCTTCGAAGCTGCAAAATTTGTATACATATTTGGCACAATACAAATGTACATGTATATCTTTGAATTGTAGATTTGTATAGAATTGATCAAACTCTGCAGTTTCGTTTCTTGTACATGTACATGTATGTTGCCACACTACAAGGTTTGCTGGAGTTTGTGAATTATATTTTGAAATGGAAGTGCCATCTGTTTTCAGTAAGCCAGATGATCATTGGCCAGGAATTAGGGCTCAGTCAATTCGAATAACTCACTATTCGAATATTCGATCTTCAATTCGATTGAATGTCCGAATATTCGTTCGTACTGACCGGCAGATTGTTGATGAACAATCCATGTGCAAAGTCAGTTGCAATAATGCACAAAATTGTACATTTTAATCATGGAATAGCTTCTCAAGTCTGGTAGTATCTCCAGCCATGATTTAGCAAGATTTAGAGATGAACAATACTTTTTGTCCTTTAAAATTTGTAATGCATAAATTAATTTTTGAATCTTTGTAAGATTTCTGTTGCTTTTCATTTGAATCTGCTTGAACCAAGCTTCCACAGTGTAATTTTTTGCATTTAAAACAAAAGAAAATTCTCCCTTCGTTTTCATGAATTTTGCATTTAAATATTCAAATTCGGAAAATAGTATTCGATACTCAATCGAATATCCGGATATTTGGAACAGCCCGACCAGGAATACAAGTGTGAACGTGAATTTGAACATATGCATCAAGGCCAGTCATGAAAATGTTTGTTTCCAGATCAGTATTCACTGCACATGAGTCTAGTGTAAACCCAGTCTGGGG